AGAAAAACAGATGCAGGATCCCGTTATAAATAATAATCGTCACTATCCATATGTTCATACTCTGTTTATGACCACACGGTGGCGCTAAATATAGCTAAGGTAACTGGGACTGGGTCCAGGTGAGCGACTGTGTCAGACAGTGTCAAAATTATACACTGATACACTGATTTCATAGAGAGGTGTACTTTTAAGATGATTTTTATTGACATTATTTTTTCTTGCGTAATCTGTTGAAATTTGTCTCGCGGGACGCAAAATGTCATGTGGCGCCTCTAGCACAGTTAGCTAACCGTTAATTATGTCAAATAATTTCCAAACAAACACCAACATATTGTTATTTATTTGTTGTTAATGTTTTATCAACGGCTCTGGTAATGATGGGTCGCAACAGAAACGTGCAAGTAGCGTAGGCCTACTGTTGCTATGGTTACATCCTCAGGTGACTGCAATTTTAGCAGGTAAAAATACGCTTCTTACTTCCTAATTTCACTTTTGTGTTTAACGAAACGTTATTCAAACACCAGCGAAATAAGTAGTTCTACTTTTATATACTTGACAACTTTGCCTTTAATTTTGACGACCTTTGTGTGGTTCAAGTCTTAATTAGGAGGAGGACAAACACCCTTGAAAAGGTTATTAACATACAACAGACAATAGTTTGCATTTAGTTCATAGACTCAGCAAATGTGATCATTAAATCCATATTTTCCTTTGTGTTAAGTTAAATCAATGTATTGACACCTGTCTGTACACACACAGCTTATGTTTAGGCTTATACAAACCATTCATGACTTCACCACTAGATGGCAGTTGGTGTCTATACACAATTAATGAACCGTCTATTCTATCCTGTTAGCTCCACTTTCCAAAAACATTTTTCTTTAATGTATTGGACATAGGCTCACCATTTAAATTGCTAAAGATAAGTAGGACAAGAGTAAACGTACAAAAATACCATAAACTGAAAAAAGGCGCTATTCGTTCAATTAGGCTACTTTGGCATTAGATTAATTTGTGATCACTGGATATGATATGACAATATTGTACATGCATGTCTATTTACACAGGGAGTATAGGCCCATGACCAAACCTCTATGGGCTCTATAAAGAACTGAAGTCCTATCAAAGTGCACAACAGCAAAGACTCGTCACTGAACATCTGGACACCATTCCTCTTCAACGCCTGCAGATGTTTTCAGGTAAGGTAAGTTTAGGATACAATAGACTCCCTCTGTATGGAAAAATTATCACAAAAACAGATCAAGGCTTGGTGGCTAATGCACATATTCAAGCTAAATGAAACGAATCAACAGCTGGTATATAACACATCTGGCCTTTGCCTTATATTGTTAAGGGGAGCTTCTTAAAGTTAACTTAAAGGGGCCTATAACATAATTAAAAAACATACATTCCCACTTCATTTAAAGTATGTACTTTTAAATAGGCCTAATAGAAATGGATAAGATGAATACATGCAGGGCCAAAGTGGGAGAAGTTCTGGTCATTTGTCATTTGTCATTTGCGTTGTTTTAAGGTACGATACTAAATGATTTAGCCTATAAAACACTTAAAAATAGCTACTTTATTGGCATCGATGGTTCCATCCATGGCATCTTTCCACTGCACTTACCGCTCTTTGTAGTAGAAAAAGAGTTCGTCAGATCATTAAAGGGGTCATATGATGCTTTTTTAAAGATCATTATTTTGTGTATTTGGTGTAACAGAATATGTTGACATGCTTTAATGTTCAAAAACACATTATTTTTCAAATACTGTACATTATTCTAGGTCCTCTATGCCCCGCCTCTCTCAAACGCTTCGTTTTCTACAAAGTCCCTCCTTCCGACAAGCGCAGTCTGCTCTGATTGGCCAGCTGACCCAGTGCATTGTGATTGGCCGAACACCACAAGCACTCGTCGGAAATGTAACGCCCCTTACCATAATCACGAGCTTCATCTTTCAAAATAAATGTAAAGACAGTAAATAATGTCATTAGTTTTACCATCAGTTCAAGCCCGAAAGGGGAACAGAGTCGCGTGACAGACACAGTGATGAAGCTGCTATGTGTTTGCAGTACACAAGCCACGGTTAAGACAGCTGACTCCACTGTGAGACCCTGTCTCTCTCTCTCTCTTTCTCTTTCTCGCTCTCTCTCGCTTTCTCTCTCTCACTCTTGTTCTCTTTCTCTCGCTCGCGCACACACACACACACGATGCACAAAACTCTGCATTTGAACAGTCAATAGCAAATACTTAAACTAATAACAAAACAGTAGCTGATTCAGAAGCGCCAGATTGTCATAGCAAAGTCAGAATTACCTCCTCTCCTAGGTTCACGAAACGGTCGTCCATAAAATGCATTGCTGTTCTTAAAGATTCCTAAATGCATCTACTTCTGGAAGGCCAAATAAAGTGCTTTTGCTTTCGCCTAGAAACACACAGCGTCTCCCTGACATGGCTGCTTCAACACTAACTGCGGTTACTGAAACCACGCCTTCTTTCTTTGCGTGAACATTTGGGCGGCATTATGCAAATATTTCCACATAGTGAGGTAGGTATAGGTAGATATGTGGGGGCGTGTTAGAACGAGCCATTTTAGGGGGGCGTGGCAGAGTCTTAACTTTGATAAAGAATATCTCTTTGGTTTTGAGACTTTAGTCTTTGCAACTTCAGGGATCTTATCTATGCACAATCAGCTTGTAACACTCCAAAGAGAAAGGAAAACGTGAAATCGCATCATATGACCCCTTTAAACTGTTCTTCAATATAAGAAAATCTGGAAGCCAAAATGGTTATCCACGGCATGACTGCGAAAATCCTCTTTTGGAGCACAGTAACTGCAAACCCCGTAGATCCTCTATTGTTTGTTTGTTATTATGTGTAAATATAGAAATATGTGTATATACGAATATGTGCAGTAAGTGAATGCTTGTAGCCCAGATTGTCTTGTACTGTTACTACATGACTTCAGTGGATCGCGCGCTTTAGGTTTTCACTCACTTCTACGCTCATGCAGGATGTAAAGCAAGTTCACACAGTTAATAAGGAATCATCGGTGTTCGGTTCATTCACGAGCATGATCGTCTCATCTGCGCAAACGCGCTCTCATCCACTAACGTTCAGAAATAGCAGTGCATAAACGCCACACACCTGCTTTCAAAAGCGCACCAATGAATAGTCATTGAAATGATCCAAGAAAAAGGCCCTTTGCAATGTAGTTTTAACAGCTAACGAATTGAAATATAATCCTGAATATCAAACCCGGGCTTGTAGGAGAAAACAAGCAGCTTTGCATGGAGTTGTTTTGTTTGTATTATTTTACAGCAGCTCTACGAGTTGTAAGACAGGCAGAGGTGTTTCAACAGAAGTTCAGACGCCCAGATGTCATATTAATTATTACAATCTGGAATGATTGGAACCTTCCCTCATCCCAGAGTATCATGAAAGAAAGAGGGGCTTACAAAACGCTAATTGGACTCTGCGAATGCACTTACTGAGCATGGTGGATATGTTTCAGAGAGTCCCAGCCGGAGTGAATAGAACCCACGCTTCTTTTCTAAACGCCCTTGCTGCGCTAAAAGAGGAGAAGAGGGGAAAAGAGAGAGGGAGAGAAAGGAAAGTTTGAGGGGGCTGGGTGATTGAATGCTGGTCTAATCTTGAATGCCTCAGCCAACCAAGAGAAATTGCACAATTTATTGCCCCCCTCCCTCTCCACGCCACATGCATCTCGCGCACACACAAAATTGGCGCAGGCAAAGTCATTCAAACAAAGTTGTTTGAAAGCATTGTGCCAGTATCGTGCGCCATGAAAGAGGCGAAATTAATCGAGAGATATACTGTAAGTAAATAGAGTGAATAAGGTGTCAGGAGCTTTTCTTAATGCGCGTCCACAAAATAATCCGTTCCGCCTTTCCAGCTGTGATTTCTAATAACGACTGGCCAAATTCATCTTGCCCGGACAAAGATTCCCTATATGGAACAATATTATATGGCTGTAACACGTTAACAGTATAACAGTTGTGACAAATGTTAATTCATGACCAAACTACACCTGAGTCCAATGAAAGCAAAGTGCTTTGAATGAGTTCATTTACCTCTGAATGGATTCGTCTTAAGCACAGCAGCTGTTACAAATGATTTGCTATATTTGTTAAGAACTGATTTTTTGTTGTTGTTGATAAGATGATGTTCGACATTTTAGGAAGCTTAGTATAGCAGGATTCGTATGTGATTAAATAATGTGGTAAACCGGGGCATGTTTTCACAAACAAACTATGTTTACTTCAAACACTTAAAACCCTCTGTCCTCCAAACTACACCTCTTTTTTTCATAAATGCCAAGTCGGGACATGTTGTCACATGTTTTAAATGTTATTAATGACGTTATTTGTTGGCAAACAGTGGTTAGATATTTTATATTTCTATGAATTGTGTTGCGTTTATGAACTTTTTTATAGTTTTTTTCTGTTAATTCTGTTTAATGGCAGATTTAGGCTAATTGTGAAAACTAGTCTTCTCTATTCATTATACTGCATTATCATAAAATTTGAATAATTTCATGATCTTTCGAATATATATATAGCCTATACATATAGCTGCAAATACAGTCAACGTGCATCATTCTTATATTTTGCTCAAGTTTTTTTCCCGTGTTTGTAAAATGATTAATTTCAAGTTTAATTACTCGTTTCTCAAAGCGCCCTAAAGAAAAATCGAAGCGCGCTGTTGTTACATTTTTACAATGTCACAGGATGCCTTTAATGCAGCTCAAAGTTGAGTGTGTGTGTGTGTTGTTCTCCAACAAACACTTGTCATAACCGAAAAACACCTCTAGTCATTCTTTACGAGAAGTTGTTTACTCAGTGGCAGGAGCGGCACGCGCCCGGCGTACGCAACACAAGCGCATCTCAGGGGGCGTGGTCAGGGGGAACGCGCGGCGGGCCGCCGGCGTATTGAAAAGGCCGCGCTGTTTCCATCTCACAACTCAGAACAGGTCGAGAGTCCGGAGCACCCCTGCCCATTGAAGACACACGTGAACGCCACGAGCAAGACGCACGGCCATTGGGCATTCCAAAGAAAACTTTCGTGCTTTTCCTCCGCGAAATGGACATTACTGCCAAGATGGAAATAAGCATAAACCAGCAGCAGTTCATGCCACCTGCTTGCTTTTTTGCCTCACAGAGCATCCAACTCAGTCCGACCGACAGCCAGTGCAGCAACAAGTCCGCGTCGAAGCAGGCGAAGAGGCAGCGCTCATCCTCTCCGGAGCTGCTCCGGTGCAAAAGGAGGCTCAACTTCGCCGGCTTCGGGTACAGCTTGCCACAGCAGCAGCCGCACGCGGTGGCCAGGCGAAACGAGAGAGAACGCAACCGGGTAAAGCTGGTGAACAACGGCTTTGCTACTCTCCGCGAACACGTTCCCAACGGAGCGGCGAACAAGAAGATGAGCAAAGTGGAGACGCTGCGCTCGGCTGTGGAGTACATTCGCGCGCTCCAGCAGCTCTTAGACGAGCATGACGCGGTGAGCGCGGCGTTCCAGTCGGGCGTCCTGTCACCCACCATCTCCCAAAACTACTCTAATGACATGAACTCTATGGCCGGTTCGCCCGTGTCCTCTTACTCCTCAGATGAGGGCTCCTACAACCCTCTGAGTCCTGAAGAACAAGAGCTCCTGGACTTTACCAATTGGTTTTGAACGTTCGTGAAAGGTTCGTATGAATTAAATTAATCTTTATTGCCGCTATAATTGTGTTTTCACGATTTTGTTGTTCATGCAAGATACCCACCATGTCCCGTTCTCTTTCTAGGAAATACCTAAAAATCGCAGTACTGCTTGGGAGGAACTCGGATGTCCTCCAAGAACACAAAGCACTGCGTTTGCGCTACAGTCGGTTCGGAAAGACTCGAATCCACACCCAGAGATGGCCCATACAAACCGGCAAACCACGGGTCCCGAGAGTCAAAGAGCCAAAGGACTAAAAGGGAAGAGCGGGAATCCAGTCCTTCCAGCGCATTCGCCCAAGAAATCTATTTTTAAAATGACAACAATAAGCAAACGTTGTTCTTTACCTATGCTAATGTAATCAGAAGGTTTGCCCTGATAGACCCCTCTCACAACTCTGATATGCTTCCAACTTGGCGAATTTTATTATATGAAGTTCTATTTGTATAAAACATGTTGTTTTCTGAAATATATTAAGCTATTTTTATATGTAAGAGATTTATAGATGTTTTTGTACACATTCATTTTAATATGTATCTATTTTTTACCTATAGCCTGCCATACATTGCTCATTACCTCTCGCTTATTCAGACTTCTAGTCTCAAATGCATCGCAGCTGGCAATTCCCTTTACGGATGTGGAGGTTTTAGAGGAGTTTAAGAGTTTAAATTTCAACACCAACGTGTCTTATTTAATAGGAATAATAATTACAATGGTAATAGGATTCGAGTGATCAAAGGTTATGCAGCTATTGTCCAAACGGAGGTGTTTTGTGTCTCCACACTGCCTGTTCCACTTTGCCTTTACAATGCTGGGTTTTGCATCTCAGAAAATAAGAATATGCCTTATCTCCTTATTTTCTACAGTTTAGTCTCATAATAAAAGTTTCTAAAAGAAATATATTTTCTTGAGTTTGTTTTGTGTATTGCAACCATTTATCTTCATTGTTACTGAAAGCAGTTCTAGAAAAACACAGTCAAGTGTAGATTTTCGTTGCACAATTTCTTTTTTTAATGGGCAACAAAAGTGATAAGCCTGCTAACCCTCGGCAGTCTGCCTGTTGTCAGGCAGTAGGAGACGTGACCAGCATACTGCACCGTTTCACAGACTGCGCTCATAATGAATGCCAATTTGGAGAAGACAGCACTTTTGGAAAATAAGCATATTTTTTTGCTCACCCTACTCACACTTTTGTGGGTGAGTATGGCAGAGAGAGAGAGAAAGACAGAGAGAGAGAGAGAGAGAGAGAGAGAGAGAGAGAGAGAGAGAGAGAGAGAGCATACAGGACCAAGTAATCAAAGAATTAAAAAACGTAGCATATTTTCTTCTATTAACGTTAACAATTAAAATAAGATGTTCAAAGGCTGATAAATATATGTGAAACGCACAGGGCACAATGGTTTTTAATAGAATCTTTAAAAAGAAAATATTTGTTAAGAAAATAGTGTTTACAGATATGATGATTTCCTTCATGTTCCTGCCTGCCACACTGACATTTGTGTTGACCTCGAAAAGTATTGAATTTTGGAGGAAAAAAAGGTTATGCTAACCGTCTTTTATCAACATATTTTTTCAGACATTTTAGTCTTTTAACAGGGCTTTTTTTTCTTTCTTTTTTAAACTCTCTGGACAGTTAGCTACACCACCAACACATTTTCTACTTCTCGCAAAACATATCAAAATAACTTTTAAATTCAGAAATTGCAAACATGTTCATAATATAAAAAGTGTATATAAGTAATTTTTTACAGTCTATTGCGTTTTTAATGAAACATTTAAAACGATTTGAAAACGCGAACTTGACTTTACTGACCCAATATACAAACGTATTCAGTAAAAAATACACTTTTTGTTAAGTTACTCATAAATAACTCAAAGTTGCAGAGTTTAAATAACAATCGTGGAGTTTGACAGGTAAAGTGTGTGTGCAGGGGCCGGCGCGTGCCTGCTGTAATGAACTGAAAGGCTCTGTGCGTGTGTGGCGCTCGAGTGGAGTCGGCTGAATGTGCGTGTGCCTTTCTGACACGCACTCAACAACTGTCCCTTTAAAAACACACAGCGTCAGGTTGCTGTCCACAAGAGGCAGGTGTTGAAGAAAAAGAAAAAAAAATAGGCCCCACACGAAAGTAAGGCGAGCTTTGTTAAGGGTAAAACGAAGTATCCCAGCTTATCAATTAGCCATAGTTTTACGCTATCTTATATTTAAAGCAATGTTTTAAACTAGCGCGACCAGACAGGGTCTAGCAAGTGTGGTAAAAGATGGGAACGATTTTAGTGTCACAGGTCCAGATGAGCCAAAAAACATTATCTATGTTTATATAAAAAGACACACTGTTAAAAAATGAAGGTTCATTTTGGCATCCGTTCCATGAAGAACCATTAACATCCATGAACCTTTTCCATTGCAAACCTTGTTCTTTAGTGGAAAAGGTCGCATTATTTAAATATTCTTCACACTACGAAAAAATGATACTTTTAACTGAAAGGTTCTTTATGGAACCCAAAATGGTTCTTCAGTGGAATTGCTGTGAAAAGCCCCAATATACAGTCAGGTGTCCTAGAATTCCCTGTGACTGTGTGATTCACTGACCAACTTCTATGACATGTCAAACCACCATCCAAATTGGAAGGGTCTGAACTGTTGACTAGCTTGGAAAATCAATTTTTGCGCTTTTCCATCAGACGCTTGACCAAGCACCGTCTTATTGTAAGGTACTAGACCCATTTGTCAGTTATATTTCAATAGCTAGAGTTTCATATTTATCTGGTGTGAAATTAATTTGGGGAAGAGAGGCAGTGCTTTTTTTTTGTGCTCTAGATCCTGAAAAAAATCAATAAATCAGGATCTCTCAGATGGATAAAGCAAATTTTCCACTTGATTTTCTGGCCTCTTGTGTCTTGTCGGTGAAAGATTAGGCTATAGAAAATGTAATATCACGTTCAGATATTTGACTTCCCTCCAATAAGCTTGTTCCAGGACCCTGTTTTATCAAGAAACATTGCAGAAATCATTACTACACTGAAAACATTTTTTTTGTGTGGAAACAATTTTCACACAGAAATTGCTAGTAAATTTCATAATTACAAAGAAACAGAAAGTAACACATTAAATTCAATATTACATTTTTGAATGTATAAAACATTGAAATATTGAGAACATTTAATTTCTCTGTTTGTTTTTGAACAAAATCTCCACAGAAAGCAATGTGAATTTCATGCTAAAACTTTTCCATTGACCTATAGTGAATGAGCTTCATGGCCAACCTGAAAATACAAGCCACCAATTCCTTTTACAAACTATTCATGCTCAATCTGAACTGTGTCCAAGGGAACGGTAGCGAGCAATGCAGCGTGTGTAGTTGTGCGCACAGCCTATTCGAGCCTGTGTCCATCAATTTGTGGCAGAATGTTGCCTCCTCATTATGCCACGCCTGAATAGAACAAGAGCGGCAGCATGTAACCCACACTGATTAGCGATCCGGGCCCCTCTGATGTTCTCCCTGTTGAAATTCATGGGGACTTCTTGTTATCACTCCTCTCCAGCCTCCTTCATTCTCTTTGAAAGTGCTGCCATCCCTGCCTCTCAACTTCTTCAGCAGACTTTGTAAATCTAAAGACTCAGACTGTTAGACAGCACTCACTTCCTCATGAGTGCCCAGAGAGCTTTTCACGACTGTCCAATGTCTGACAGAGGGCTGCGGCCATTTCTTTAGGCTAAATGAGACCGGTCGTTCTCTGTTTTTTTTCGCTACCTCGAACCTTTTCATTTTTCCTCCCTCTCCTCTTGCTTATACAAATGCTCGCTTTTGTTATTTCTGAATGTGACGGTGCTCTCTATGCATGTCAAAGCTCTTCTCTCCCCTTTCCCCTACTGAGTCCTGCAGATTTGGTGAGTGATTATCAGTGATGATAGGATGTTTGATGACCACATTGTGCAAACTTTTCACTCTCTTTATGCCGAATTGCCAATTACATTTAATAAAGGCTCTAGCCTGCATGAAATATGAGCTGCTTGACTTTGGCCCTGAAGAGTGCAATGCAAACAGTGTTTCAGTACCACAGACAGCACTCCTCTCCACTCTACTAATGTTCAGCAGTGACGCCTCAGTCTTGTGCAGTAAATGAAATCTATGCCCTATTTTTCTGTGAAACTGTAAGGTTTTCTGTAAGGTTTTGTCATTTTGACCGACATTCAGTCAGTTAGTCAGTGTTTACCCCTTTTTTATGGGTTATTGACATGGATGCGGAAAGAATAATTAATAAGGTACCTTGTAGTTCATTTTTATTGAGGTTTGATCATTCAACACTTGCAGCAGGAGAAGAATACAGATTAAATGGGACACTTAAACATAATTTGTATCAGTATTTGTATATTCTTAGTGGTGATTTTTGCATTGAAACAGTATACAAAATATGAAAAATTTGAAATGTCTCTACTTCATCAGTTGGCCCACCTGTATTCACTCTATTAAATAATATAATATAATATAATGTAATATAATTTATATAAATAAAATAATTTTAATGATATATTATTGTATATACGCTACTGTTGAAAAGTATAAAAAAATAAAAAAGTGAAGAGAGAGTAAAACATTTAGTCACAAAAGATTTCTATTTCAAATAAATGCTGTTCCTTTAAACTTTCTATTCATCGAAGAAGTGTTTCCACAAAAGTATTAATCAGTACAAATTCTTGTCAACATTGATAATAATAAAAATATTATTATCTTATATAATAATAAGAAATGTATCTCGATCACTAAATCAGCATATTACATTGATTTATGAAGGGTTATGTGACACTGAAGACTGTAGTAATGGTTACTGAAAATTCAGCGTTGCCATTGCAGGAATAAATTGCATTTTAAAATATATTAAAATAAAAAACACAAATTTTAAATTGTAATAATATTTCACAATAGTTTTTCTTACTGTATTTTTGATCAAATAAATGAAGCCTTGGTGAGCAAAATAGCTTTTTTCAAAAACATTTTTCATACATATGCATTATGTATCTAATACATGTATTAATTTGAATGTTAATATGGCCTAACTATTAGTGCAAACAGTTGTTGTTGACACCATCACAGGTTGCTGGAGTCATCGAAGGGGTTGGCGATGACTGAGTTATGAATGAGGATGAAGAGAGGCAGATGAGCGAGGAAGTCGAGAAGATCGAGGGAGCGCAAATTGTGAAGTTCCCGTTTCACCGACGCCTCATGCTCAGGTCTGATGCCCCCTGCCTTGAGCTCCACTAGGAGTTGCTCTGCCCCAATGCAGCCCTCTGGCACCACAGCACTCCCTGTTTGGGCCTCAAGCAAGAACAGGAACAACTGCTGTAGAACAAGCACACATACTCAGGTTAGTACCAATGAATGTAATATCCATTCTT